TTGCAAACAAGATCACGTATTTTAAAAGAGATACTCCCTCTGTCCCAAAATAATGGTCCCTTTTGGGGAATCTAACTTTTTTTGATAGTATAATTATTGCACTTTAAAAAAGTTGATTTTCCAAAATTACCCTTTTGATAGTACATTTTTTGAAAATATCAATGTCATAATTGTACTTTTTATATTGTTTATTAATTTAAAAGAAGGGCAAAATAGGAAATTTATATTATTTTTGTACTTGATTTTTGAAGAGGGACTAATATTTTGGGACAATGAAAAATGGAATAAGAGACTAATATTTTGGAACAGAGGGAGTATCCATGATTTTTTGTAGCATAATTAATTTTGGGTAATTAAAAATAGCAGATGTTTGAAAAGGAGTTGCATTAAAAAAACCAGAGTTCATATATGCTTGTTTTAAGATTACTCACCTTGTACTCCAAGCAAGTTCTCACAAGAGTTTTTCTAAGGATCCTACATATTACAAGTTGTACATGATTAGAATAAATAATTATGCAAAGTGTGTTTCTAATGAATCATGTGAACCCCTAGCAATGGTCCACTATCTTAATTGTTGCCTTTCCTATGGTCCTAATGTAGTGGTCGGGGGTCAAAATGGGCAATGCCAAGCAAAATGAGTTACAATAGGGCAAAAAGCCATAACTGATGGATAATGGTTTGAGCTGCTGTATGACGGCTTGAGTGTTGAATCACTGCTCACAGTTTCTGCCACCAATTGAGGTCCAGAGAGGTGTTCTTCACTATTAGATGACCGCTTGAGCGGTTGTCACAGTCTTGGGTTTCTAGGTTTTGAAACCTAGAATTCTTACCCCCTATTGATTCCCAACCTCAAATTCTATGTCAATAACTCATATCCCAAAACTTTGTCTAAAAAGACCTCCTGAAACACTAACCTAACTCTTCTTTCACCAAACGAGATTAAATTGCAAAACCAAGCATGATACACACACACATATATAAACATATATCTTTGTGTCTCCTCCTTTTAAAGGATTTCAATTTTTCTTGATTTTTAGGAATTGGGCTGTTGTTTGCCATTTCTACTGCTAGGAGTTTCGTGTTATTTGTTTTGACTTTATCTTTTTCTTTGTATGAGGACTTCTTGTTCTCTTTCCTTCTTGCTTTTTTAATACTCCCTTTGTCCCATTTTGTTAGTCCTCTATTCCATTTTGGGATGTCTCAAAATGATAGTCCCATTTGAAAAATCAAAGTAAAAAACATTTGGTTTTTCAAAACTACTCCTTTTGAGTAATTATAAATATAGGTAAATTATAATTTAACCCCCTGTTTTTTACCCCAAAAACACGGAACCCCTTATGCTATGTTTGGATTGAGTGATTTGGAGAGAAAAGAAAAGAAATGGAGAGATATGTATTTCTCTTACTTGTTTGGATAACCTAAGTGGAGAGAAATGAGAAGAAATAGAGATAAATAGAGAGAAACTCATTTCTCTTATGAGCCTCATTTTCAATCTTCCCAAAAGTGGAGAGATTGAGAGAGAAAAGAAACTACTATTTTTATAATACCAATTTTGTCCCTATAAAAATAAAAGAAATAAAATGATTGAAAATATAAAAAGGTTATTTTAGTAATATAACATAAAATAATTTCTTTTCTTTTCTCTTAATGAAATCTAACCAAACAAGAATGAGAGAAATCACAATCATTTATTTTCTTTTATTTATTCCTTATCCAAACAAAAAGGAGAGAAATCACAATCATTTCATTTCATTTCTTTTCTCTTATAACTTAAGTAATAATTTCTTTTTTTTTCTCTCCTAGGTTCCCAAACACAGTGTTATAGTTTTATTTGTAACACTTAAACCCCTAGACTTTATACCATGTTGTAATTTTTGACGGACGTAACAGAAGAGCACAAAATGACCACCAGCTAAAAGATAGAATAAAAAAAAGAAAAAACAGGAAAGAGAGAGAAAGAGTGAAAGTTAGAGAGAGAGAGATTGCAACCAGAGAGAGAGAGAGAGAGAGAGAGAGAGAGACTCTCCCTTTCACTCTAATGGCCAAAACCAAAAACTCAACAAAATCCATCGAGAAAAATTAGAAAAACCAGCCCGACAATGCCCCAAAATCACAAAAAACACTATTTTGGTAAGTTGTGAGATGCCTCCTCACCGCAAACACCTCTAGACCCAACCAAAATATATGTATATACCCAGAAACTACATCCACTAATGATTTCAATTAATTCATAGCACTAACAATGTCCACTATCACAAATGCGAGAGAAAACACAAATGGGTTATGTGGGTACTTACAGAAAATCTCCAAAACGAAACAAATGTTTTCATTTCAGAGGCTGCAAAACTGGAAATTATGGTGAGAAAGATCAAATTTTCTGAAAATCTTTTGTTTGTTGTCACCAATTGTCATGTAATGATTAATCCATTATCTATCAAATTCACCAATAACTACCAAATTATATGCGAGCAAATGGTTTGAGGAATTTCCAGTGTTGTTGGCATTGAGAAGACCCAAATATTGGCTCCTTGGTGGACGAAATCGTGAAGGCCAAGCCATGGCCGCCGAGCTTTTTGTACTTTGGAACGATTGCAAAAGAGAAGGCTGTAAAGAAAGAGAGAGCTTTGGCAGTTGTGGAGTTCTTGAATCTGATCGGAGTTGGGTAAAAAGTGTGGCTGATCAATCGAAGCGTCTCGTTGGTGAGTTGGAGGAGACCATTGTTGTGGATCTTTGCAACACCGTTTAGGCTTATGTTGTTGGTAAAACCCTTGAAGCCATTGTAGACGAAGCCATTGTTGAGCTGAGAAAGAACTGGGTTTGTTGAGAGGAAGAGAAAGAGCAAGAGAAAGAGAAAGATAAAGATTGATTTGGCCATGAAAGAGAGGACAGTGCTCAAGCACATGAGGGAGAGGACAAAGCTCAGAATATGTTAGGATGTGATATGATCTATTCTGTTCCTGAGAGTGATTGTAAAGCAAATGAAATATCTCTAGTTGCAACCTCTCTCTCTCTCTCTCCACCTTTCCTGTTTTTTCTTTTATTTTTTAATCAGGCGGTGTGCACTTTTGTTACGTTCGTCAAAAATTATAACATGGTATAAAGTCTAGGGATTTAAGTGTTACAAATGAAATTACAAGAGGGTTCTGTGTTTTTGAGATAAACCACAGGGGGTTAAATTATACTTTACCCTATAAATATATTAAAAATTTGAAAAGATAGGGGCATTAGTGGAAAAATATTTTGAAATTTAAAATTTAAGTGTAATGATTGCATGCCCCTTGAAAAAGTTGGAATCCCTAAAAGGGACTAACAAATTGGGACGGAGGGAGTAAAATTCTTTGTTGATGCTCAAAAAAGAAAAAAAACCATACACATATCCATGTAAGTAAACTCAACAACTACAATCCATACTCTATTGATCCCCAATATGATTATCAAAACATTTCTAATCATGAAGGTGGGTCTCTAACGTGGTGATTACAAGATGAGCATGCTAGAAGACCCCAAAACCTGTGCCAAGTACTACCAATTCTACATGATGGAGTTATCTCAAGAATACAAAGACAGAGATGAGGTGAAGATACTTACTTGGTTGGGCCTTCTAGATTTTTTTTCTTAAATTTCCATTGGTTTTCTTCCACCTTCATCTCTTGCTATTCTCTCTCTGTCTCTCTCTCAAATGTTAGAGACAAAGTGAGAGATTAATTATCTAATACAATGAGCCCATCATATTCTTGTGTCAAAATGACACCTGTCCCCATCTACTGAAATGCATGCATGTGGTGTCTCACTCTATGTCACATTACATGGGCTCTTCAAAATAAATCAAATACCCGTGTCGGACATGTAATATTTGGACATGGTGGAACATGTGTGTCCCATACTTTCCATTTGACATTTCTTATATATATGTATTTAGTACTTTATACGTATATATTATTGTGTAATTGCCATAAAATGAGAAAAATGCACTTTTTGACCTTGTATGTTACATATAACACCGCCTCACATAATAGATTAAAAATACTAAAAAATGATCATTTTTTTGTTTTGTAGATATGAAATGGCAGATGTACTTGAGTCCATGTAACATAAGTCTCTCTCACTTAGGTTAAAGCCACATGGCCCATTGGGTCCCAAACTAAGACATGTTAAACACATCTAATTAAGCATAATCTTGTTAATTAACTACCAAATTTGGGAAATTAACATATTACGTTGCCTTTTTGAAATAATCAAAAAAAATTAGGCACAAGTAAACATGCAAGATTATCAAATTAGTTGTTTATGCTCAACTTAAATTCAAATTAGTGCTCAAAATGAGGATTTAATAGTTAATATCATATAATTGGGAAAGTTAATACTTGAGGTGTTACAATGCCTTCAACGTGTGTATACATGTATCAAAATATATATTATCATTTTTTTTTTGGGGTGTAGAAGTATATTTGTTGTGAAGAAAGAAAATGAAATGATATTGATTAAATAATATATATTTCCAATAACTTTTGCAAACAATGTGATGGTCCAGTGGTGGATGTCAGTTTCCTATTTGCCTGAGAGTAAGCTCTTAAATCTCTCACCTAGCACCATTTTAAGCGATGCATGGATTACCTGGTGTAGCAAATGTGTTTCATACATGTGTTAGGCATAGAAAAGGTGATGCACGCATTACCTGGTGTAGCAAATGTGTTTCAAGTCCACTTATTTGACTACTCTCATCCATGAGTTTGACCCATTTTGATCTACAATTTGTGAATCCAGGCGCTAGTTTGCCATTTGTTTAGCTTGTTAGCTGAATTGGGTGACTAAGTTTCTTATTATATCGTTGAATGCTGACACTTTTGAAGCCATGTTTATCGATTGCATTGGTTCATCTCTCAGACATATGACTTGTTCATTAATGAATAGAATTGTGCAAGTTGAGTTAAAGAATTCTCTGATTCAATTTAATATGATTCATTTGCAAAAGTTTTATATGTAGTTCATTATTGTCTCAGCAGCAGCAGCAGCCATCTGTGCCAGGAGCTTTATTTGAGGAGAAGCCTCAATCTGCCAATGATGCCTGGAGGAAGCTCCATTCAGATCCATTGCTTTTGATTCGGCAGCGAGAGCAAGAAGCCCTAGCTCGTGTAAAGAACAACCCGATCCAGATGGCCATGATTAGGAAATCTGTAAGTATACACTTTGTATGGTAGTGAGTTCACACTTTAACTGGTGAATTAATGTATCTGAAACAGTGCCTGGTTAATATTTCATAATGATAGAAAACATGGCCGGCCCAAAATTTCATGAACTACTAAAAATTCCCCATCTTTGATGTGCATGAAACCAAATTAGCTTTAATTCTTAGACATAGTATTAATTCTTCTATCACAAGTAAATACAAGTTTAATTATTTTTAGTTTGATGCAAAATCTATTTACCCTTGATGCTTAACATGCTTTCACTTTTTTGTATATTATCCCAAAAAAAAAAAAGTGTTGATGGAAGAATTTATGGGTGAATTCTTTATACAAGAACATTGTCAAATTTATCTATTATCACACCCCCTTTTGTTTTTGTGAAAGGATTGTCTTTCGTTGGCCATTGATGAACAAATCATTAATTATTTGGTTCCTCCATTTTCTTTGGACTATGAACTACCCTTGCTAGTTGCTACTGGGCATTTGGAGACTAAATGCTGTGCAAGTCTAAGACAGTGCACTTGGATGCCAAAATATAGCAACAAGGTTGAGTGTGATATTTCAATAGCTCTTCGAGAAAAGGAAGCATGCATAACATGCCTTGTTAGATAAGAGCAGGTGTTGAACGGAATGGACATTCATGGTGGAAGGTAATGAGGCTTTAAGCTTGTAAAGATTAAGGGTTGCTTGATGGCAATTATGGGCAAGTTCTTCATGGGAGTTAAGTTTGAGTAAAACAAAATCTTGTTCCTAACAAGTAGTGTCATGGTCCAAGTAGCACAAACACGGACAACCGATACGGCACACACCATGTCATTAGTATTGGGTTTGTTGTGATCTATTGACCAAGTGCATTCCAAATCATCTTGTCAGGAACAAAAATTGGTACATTTGGATTGCCAATAATCTTTTCAAAGAATGACTTGTAAGAGAACAATCCTTATGAGAAAATGTTTTAAAAAATGTTTTGAGAGGTGGTGGGGTAGTTGCAGCGTTCAAGGTTGGAAAGATTATAAATTCATTAAGAAATATAGAATGGTGAAGGAGAAGATAAAAGTTTGGAATAAGGAGATTTTTGCGGGTTTGAAGGAAATGAAAAATGGTATTGTGTGAGAATTGATGAGTTGAATTACATTGAGGTTGGGGGGGGGGGGTTAAACGAAAGGTTTAGATGAGAATCTTCAAACGAAATATTGGATCTCAAGACTACATTTGAGTAAGTTGTAATTAAGGAGAAAATCTCTTGGAGTTAAAGGGCTAAGATGAAGTAGCAATGAGGGACTGTAATTCAAAACTATATCATAAGGTTGTCAACGGAATAACAAGAAAAAGTTCATCAAAAGATTAGAAAAGGATTTTGGATTGTTTGTGGATAGGGATGATCAAATGATTAATGAGGTTTTTTCCTCTATTGTAGATTGTATTATTTTGGTAGGGTGGTTGGGCATGTGAAGCAAAGTCCCAAATTGCTTGAGTATTAAAATAATATTCAGTATAAAAACTTGAGGCCACCTTTACCTCAATAGTTAGCTTTTGGGATTGTATTCTACCCAAGACCGTGTAACAAAGTATTAGAACCGGAGTACTCAAGGATGGGTAGGGTGCGTGTCGCCGCAGGTGCTGCCGAGTGAGTACATTAGGCGTGAGGGAGGGTGTGAAGCGAAGTCCCACATCGCCTGAGTACTAAAGTAATGTGCAGTATAAAAGCATGAGGACACCCTCACCTCAATAGCTAGCTTTTGGGGTTAAAGTCCTACCCAAGATCGTGTAACAAGGCCATGGGCGAAAGGTCTGTGCTTGTCTCTGATTGACGAAACTAAATCACCATGGTTGGAAAGGCCTTTTGATGAGATGGAAATTAGAGTGGCAGCATTCGAATGTGTAAGGGACAAATCACTAGGACTAGAAGGTTTCTCTATGACTGCATTCCAAGATTGTTGGGAGGTGGTGAAACATGATTTGGTCAAGGTGTTAGCTGATGATAATGGAGTTGAGAATGCTTTTATAAACACTACTTTCATTTGTTTGATACCCATAAAAGAGAACACTTTGAATAGTAATGGTTTTAGACCAATTAGTTTAGTCACTTCATTGTATAAAGAATTAGCAAAGGTTTTCTCAATAAAGTTGAGGCGAGTTTCGAGTGATAACATTTCATTTGTTTGATTCCCATAAAGGAGAACTCTTTGAAGATTAATGGTTTTAGACCAATCAGTTTAGTCACCTCATTGTATAAAAACATTAGCAAAGGTTTTGTCACTAAAATTAGCATTTCCTCTTCTCAGAGTGCATTTGTAGAAGGTCAATAATTTTGGATCGATAGTTAATAACAAATGAGATGGAGTATAGGAGCTCTAACAAGGAGAGTGTTATTTTTAAGGTAGACCTCGAAAAGCCGCGTGATCATGTTGGTTGATTTTTTTTTTTTTTTTTTGGAATTCACTTTGCAAAAGAAGAGTTGTTTATCATCTTGCAATTTGTTGTCTTTACCTACGAAGTATCTAGGTCTTCCTTTGGGATAATCCTAGGAGTAAGAGTTGTTGGGCTCTAGTTGTTGAGAAGATAGATATGGGATTCAATCCAATGGATGGGAATCTCTTGTGATCAATTGAGAGAACTCTTGATCCCCGTGTAAAGCTATTTCTCATGGTATCCATTACTTTGCTTGGTATATTTGGTTTAAAGTAGGGGAATGGAGAGAGGATTTAATTTTGGGAGGATGTTTGGTTAGTGGAGGTCTTATTTGTTTCCTCATTTGTATCTACTCTATTGTTTACATAATGGTTCTAGTTTTTTATGGCTTCTTCTGAAGTCCTTGATGAGAGAGAGTGAACTATTCATTTATTCGGGTTATATTCTTGCAATTTTTTGATGAGATTAAAAATTATCCAAATGTTCCATTTTTTTCCTCCGCATAAGTTGATTGAATGCATGTGTCTCTTAAGTTAAAACATTTTCATGTTCTTTGGCTCATGAAACTTGATGCGAAGGACATGTTTCAAAAAAGGAGGCCTAATTGCAATTTGTCTTTTCAGTGGTGTATCATGTGTACGAGTGAGGGAAGTGTTCATCATTTGTTTCGACATTGCCCTGTGTGTATGATGTTATGGTATTGATTTTTTCCACTAGCAGTAATTGATTGGCTAGTTCCATCGGCATGTGTTCAGTAGCTCTAAATTGATTATAGAGGTTTTGGTTCCAATAAGAAGGCTTGTGCTTTTTGGTATTGTTACGTCTTCTTCTCTTTGGGATTCAGTATCATCCCCCTTTAGGGGGTTCCTTTGTTTATGATATCTAGAGATTGGAAGTTTGTATGTTGATTGTATTTTTACTCTATTTTCTTTCCTTTTATTTTTGGAGGACATCTTGTCTTCCTTTAACTCCTTTGAACTTCTTTTTCACTTACTTTTAATAAATTTTTGTTGCCAATAAAAAAAGGCCATTTGGTTGAATGCTGGATTAACCATCAGTTTGAAGTGTTCAATTTACCCCTTTAAACCAAACTACACGCAGACATAGGCCACATTCACAAAAACACCATTCCATTTCTGTGGTCAATTGTTACAAACCAAAGGGGTATCGATTCTTTCTTTCTCATTCATCCTTCATTTCATATACGATCAATTTTCCATGTCTCTCCTTAATTCATTGCTTTCTGACATCATCCACATTTTTTTTTTGGTGAAATCTTAGCATGTGATGGTACAAATTAGTTATAGTATATTTTGGTATTCTTATGTATCTGAATAAATATGTGCCACTATACTGTAGTACTAATGATGAGTGATTTCTACATGGAGTTGGGCACTTTTTGTTATAGCTGAGGTTTGTTGCTTGAATTGCTAGAAGCTTTCTGTGAATTCCCAGTAAAGAAGAAGATAATAAAATAAAATATAAAAACCAATAAACTGGAAGAGTCTGCAATCAGCAACTACAGTGTTTTTGCACATGTTTTCCAGCAGCTCTATCAACTTTTAAGAGAATCTGCTGGTATGGTACCATGAGGGAAGAAAATGAATGATTTCTGTTTGATATATGACAGATTAAAAATAGTTCAATCTCAAACTGTGGAACCTCACATCACCTTTAGCCAGTAAATGACTGTACTCTTGAGGAATAAACTGTGTTGTGATTTGGTAGTGTTTGTCATTGTGGTATGGGTGAATTCTTCTCTTCAATACCTACTCTACATGAAAGCTTTTGTTGATTGTGTTGTGCACATCAATTGTCATTTGTAGGTTGAAACAAAGAAGCACAAGGAGAAGACATCTGAAAGTAAAAAGTTCCGAGAGAAGCATCACAACAAGAAGTCGAAGCATCAGAAACATTCGTCGTCTGATTCAGAAAATGTTGCTGTTGAAGTTGAAGAAAGAAAAAATTCCAGTATTCACAAGAGCTCAAAATACGATAAGCATTTAGACAAGGTAGCTCCAAGATCAGAAAGAGAATTAAGGGAAAGGAATATTCAAAGAAAGAGGAATTTTGACAAGGATATAAAGTACCAAGAGCTCTCAACAACTGAAAATGATGGAACTAAGGAGGAAATCAATAGGAATCATGACAAATTAAAACATGAAAAATATTTTTTGAAAGGCCAGATGGATTCTGAATCTGGTAGAAAGGAGAGGGAAGATAGACACTCTTGTCGAGCAAGCATTCGTGATTCTTCTGATATGGGGCCACGGCGTGAATCACACCATAAGCGCCGGTATAATAATCCTTCAAAGCTTTCTGAAGAAGAGAGAGCTGCTAGACTGCAAGAGATGCAAATGGATGCCAAGTTGCATGAAGAGCAAAGATGGAAACGTCTAAAGAAGGCTGATGAGAATGATGCACGAGAAGCTATCAGTGCGCACGAACTATTCATTTATTTGGGTCAGGAATTTCTTGGATGCTGCTCAAAAGAGTGTATATGGTGCTGAGAAGGGGGGAAGCTCCACTATAGAGGAGAGTGTTCGTCGCCGAACACATTATTTACAGAGCAGGTCTGAAGTCGGTGAAGGCAATGCTTTCCGGCGTTAAGGCACTTGGTTGTTTTTGTTTTTAGTATTTCCATGTGTGATTCTCCATTCTCCACTACGACATATGTACCAAGCTTAATAAACTTTAGGTGTATTCTGTTGTAAGGAGAGATGTAATAACTACTTTCATTTTATGTTATTTTATTTTTTTCTGTTTGAAGTAAAGGATTTAATAACTACGCTATAGGTTTCTCAAATTAATAATGTTTTGGTTGCTAATGGCGGGTTTGGTTTTGCTGTGGTCGTTTGATGTGCTGTTGCTTCCGGTCATTGATGTGGTCCAGTTTGGGAGGGGCCCGTGCTTTCTTTGCCAGGTAAACAATTAACCGAGAGACCCATGTTAATACGTTATCTGGCTCTGATTTTTTTTGGATTGTCTTCTTGTCTCCTATTTTGTTTGCTGCCCTCTGTTTTTCACTCTCTTTTTTTTGGATTGTCTTCTTGTCTCCTATTTTGTTTGCTGCCCTCTGTTTTTCACTCTCTTTTTGCGTGCCCTTTCTCGCTTTTAAATTTTTTTGTTCTTCCATTGTTAATTCTTCATACATAAATTCCGAATTTCACAACTGCAAGCCGACGATTTGGTGACCATGGATGTTGTAGGCAACACCAGATATGCACAGACCCACTTCCCATTTTCTATTTCTTGCAGTCCCATTTCTTGAATATGCAAGTGTGGTTATGGCATGTTATAAAGATGTAGACCCAGGAATGATTCGGAGGTTGTGATGAGATTTGAAAAGTTAATTTCACAGTCCAACTAGATAGATGGAATGATGAAATAAAACAACAGGGTCGTTGTGATGGAGATGGTGGTGAGTATCCATGGTGGAGGTTTGTTGAGTTGATGTTTGGTGTTAATGTGATGAGAGGAGAGGAAGAGGTGGTAGTTATGGATGAAATGGCCTTGGGTGAACTAGTATTTTTTTGGGTGTGAAAGACTGACATGGTGATGGCCCAACAATTAAGGTGGGTGTTGATGCCAATTTGGGGCATCCTCTTTTTTTTCTTCTTTTCTTGTTGGTAGAGAGAGAATCAAAAGGAGAAGAGGAGCACAGAGAGAGGAAGAAAGAGGTGATGAAAGACACAGAAAACGGAAAAGGAGGGTAAAAGCAAGATCGTTATCTTTCTCTGTTTAACTATTTACTTAACACTGAAAACACGTGTCACCTTCTAGTGGATCACGTCAACGACCGGAAGTTACAGCATCTAATGCGACCGCAACAAAACGTGCCCGCTAATGGCGACCATAGTTGGGTTCCAAAATTTTGATACCAAGTAATGTGTTACCAGTTCATTGGTACAAGACATCATGATATCCCTTGAAACCAATGCGTTGGAAATTGTTTTTGCTTACTCGAAATGTAAATTTAAAAAATAAATAAAATGTCTCTTTCAAATAAATAAAAAAAGAACCCTGCTAGATATTCAAAAAATTTTACTAAAATTTTTATCAAAATAAGCCCACTCACACGAGACATTTGGTAAAAATTTTAGTAGAATTTTTAGAATCTCTAACATTTTTGATAAAAAAAGGATAATGTCAAAAAATTGCATTTAATGGTCTTATTTCGTTTTTGCAAGACTAATGTATAGAATTTACAAAAAAAAAATTAAGTCGATTCAATAATCATATTCATTTTATTTTATTGTGTTTGTCTCTAGAAAAATGAATAGTTCATTTTTAAAAATTAGTTTGAATAGTCTATTTTCGGAAACAAATATGATAAAATGAAAATGATATGATTATCAGATTAAATTAATTATATTGAGAGCTTTACAAAATGAATGGTTCAATCATCAAAATTGGACTTGTGGTGAGCCCTACAGACCCCTTAACTTCTTTAATGTTGAGATGCGAATATGAGAGAAACTCAACCTTTTCCGATATTACTATTCAATTTATAGTCATTATGACTTCAACAAAGTGTGGGCTTATTTTGTGCAGTTTTTTTAACCAAACTCGAACTAGATCCTCTATTTCCACTCTCTCCTGTTAGACTGGTGCCTTTGATTGTAAGATTTTGGCTTCAACATTTAAAGACCAAGCATTAAAAAGATTTTAGCATTGAAAGATTTTTCCTTTGATTTTAATTAGTTATGGATTTCAAACTAATTACACGGCAGGAGGCTTTGGCATGCAAAATTGAGAATAACGTACTTGTGAACTTTTATTCCAAGAATTACATAGATCAGAAACAAGAGGTGTTTGGACTTTTATTCCAAGCATTACAAAAATCAAAATAAGATAGGTGAACATGGAAAACTGATTACCTACTTTTTTTTAATTGCATAAGAAAACCTTTTCACACCTTGGAAATAAATTCCTCAAAATTATTATTTAAGCTCATAGCCTCAAGTGAATGACATTACAATTGCCAAATTTCAGTTTTAAGGTGAGAGAGCACATAACTTGCTGTGACAAAAATTCTCACTCTTCCTGTAGTTGATGATGGTTTCCCTGTTGTAACTGAATTAGATGGCCCCTCAAGCTCAATTCTTCCACCTGAAAGCAGAGCAATCAGCTAGATTTAGATATTAGTGAACATTTATGATGACAGAATTTAGCATTTATTTTCTTTTTCATACTTTCCATAATTCCAGGTTTTTGTTAGGTACTTTGATATATTGCAAAAAGTTACAAGGAACATCGGTGGTAAGGCAATACCTGTGATGTGTAGGTCTTAAACAGCAGAAGTCCACACTCTTCAACGAAAGCTCTTTCTCCACCAATCACCCTGGCTAGTTCTGAAATCAAAGCATCCATTTCTTCAGCCTGCATTCAATTCAAGAAGCTTCTTTTCACAGGAAAGCCAGATGTAGAAATGGTGGGGAATAAAAATAGTCGTAGTCTATGCTGTTTTTGCACATAATAGCTATATCAGATACCAAACCTACGACAATTGTTCACATTTGTTACTGATTACCTCAACCCACGACAAAGCTTATATCTCCTGATTCCTTAATGTTGACTAAGCCTAAAATGTGTGTAGAAATAAAATAACATCCTCAAAGCAAAGCACTGTTTCAAGACTCCCTCTTGGTTCAAAAATTTATAGTATAAGACGAGCTACACATTCAACATAGGTTTCCATTAAAATCTTGAAAAGCGTCTTTTTAACTGGATGTACTAAGAAAAACTTTCCACTACCAAATTTGGAAAAAGAAAATGTCTTCCATCCAACTTACCTTTGGCATGAAGCTTTGGACGTGGAGACCTATTGTTTCTGTCATTTTGATTGCTGAATTCAGAGCCTCCCGTACTTCTCTTATATCAGCCTGCAACATAGTTATCTCATAGTTTAGTGTATCGTAACTGTAGAGAACCAGACGCAAAAATGTATACAACTGATCGATAGACAGACATATCTACCTGAACATTCCCACTAACTGGAAGTTGTAATGAGGCATTGAGCAAAGCATGAATTGCTTCTGACAAAGAAGATGAATACTCCCCCTCCAAAGTAGACCACTCATCAAGATGTGGCATCTAAAATTAGCCCATAAGAATTTGTGAGTAATGTAGTTACATTGCAATATTACTATCTTGAAAATGTGTCCAAAGGAAAAAGGTTAAAAGAGTTTTACCATTAAAACAGAGAAGAACCTGCTTTTTGGCATATTCATCGAATTCTTAGGAATCTTACATGCAAGAATGGGAATTAAAATATATAAACTAAGAAGAGGCACGAACAATATATTGCACGAAAAATATATTGCAGCATTATACCCAATTCCCAGTTCACACAAACCCAGATAATTCCCACACAGGTTTAAAGTAATGTTCTTTGATTAAACAAGAAAAAGAGAAATAAATAGAACTTCAAAAAGTAAGAAAAAAGGTTAAGAACACAACTGACCCTACATTCAACACTTCATGCAAATCCAACAAGAGAAGGAAGGCCTTGCTTCCACAAGGTATTTGCCTTGTCAACAAAGGTAGGTCCAGTGGATTCACCCTATGATTGTGAAAGCCATAGACATCGTCAAGGCTGCAAGACAATTGTCCGCATTGATACTACAGTAATATGTGAAACTTGACACCATGTGCGCAGAGAGAGAGGGAGAGAGAGAGAGAGAGAGCTTGACACTATGTGCATGGCAACTAGTATCTCTAAAACTACCACTTTATGTTATCAATTTTTTGTCTTTTTTTTTTGGGGAGTGAAAATTTTGCAGTTGACAGATCCTGTTTCACTGTCACAACTGGCAACTTAGTTTCTCACCAGACTTTTATGAATCTCTTTAAAATATGTTGGGTCTCTGTTGTTAGTAAATAGAGACATTTGTGGGTGTCATTTGCTCTCAATGTAGAGCACACTCCCTCTTTGTTGGGAAAAATGGGTTCCCATTTGCCAGCGGGAGCATCCATAAAATCAGAACACACATACAAACACACATACAGACACAGAAAGAGAAACTCCAATATTGAACGTGGTTCAGCACACACTGGCCTATGCCCATGAGTGACACACGTAAATTCCACTATGAATAATACAATGGTGAGACCAAAAACACCCAAAATTTTACATCTTACAATGGTGAGATCAAAATCACCCAAAATTTGACACCGATACCTGAGACTCTTGCTTAAGGGTAATTAAGTCCCTAGGCCTCAAGAGCCCCATGGGCTTTTTACATCTTACACCCCTCACATCTCTCTATCAAACCTTTGTGTAGCCCCTCCGCTTTTCTAGCACCCCTAGCTACCTTCCTTCTTGCTCCGTTGCTGGAGAGACACCCTCTCCTTGACTTGGAGAGACCTCTCTCTCTCTCTCTCTCTCTCGATCGAGAGATTCTACTCTCACACATAAAACCTAAGGGAAATTCTACGGTACACACCCTTGGTTACGGCCTTTGTGTCAATAGTTATGATCTATTGTATTGTTAGTTATGACACATGCCTAGTTGCTTCTTCGCAGACATGTTCATTTCCTTCATCTGTGTTCTGCCTACCTTTGTTGATATCTAAGGCCAACTAAAAAGAGAAAACCTTGTGAAACACACAACTATACATAGCTTTTTGACTTTTGCATCAATTTCCTTCTTTTCTTTTGCTATATCCTAATCAATTTGGATTGCCACCACCCACCCACGTCGGTGGATCACCTATCCATTTTCGACAATGGATTGGCTTAGGCGTCCTCTGCTCTCATGCACCCCATTAAAGCTGACAGGACAAGTTCTTTGTCCAAATGAAACCTATAGCAAGTACCCAATGATTTTCTACTCTTGTGGGGTCCGTAATATGTGGTTTATGACTATTGCAATGGATCTAGAATGTTGGGGATTATTAGGTTCATTGATAACAGATCTCCACTGCTATACTAATGAACTCAATTATTGATTGGGTATGCATTTGTTTCTTAATTTCCACACAATAGCAGCATGCAACAGAGGCTCTAAATTTGATATTCAATTTGAATTACTATAACCTTCTATAGTATAGATGTAACTATGCTAGTCCAAAGTCAATGAATTTCTCTGGATTAAAATAAAAATAACATTAGGACTACTGTAGTTCATCATATATCAAACTGCAGGTACTATCGAACATTTAAAAAAGGAAAAAAATATGTTATTTTTGCTTATTATCAGTTTACAAATTCAAGTATTATATGTGTGTGGTACAGTTCAGTGAGAGGCAATATTACACTTCCCTGTTTCCTCATTCCAAATTTCCCTCTGTTATTCTCTTATCTTTCATACATGTATATTCTAACATGACTAGAGCAAAAATGTTGTGTGCTTGTATCTCACCACTTACCTAATGATAACAATACTATCCTGTGTTTGTCCCATTCATGGAAGAAAGTCTGACCGCATATGACGGGATGTGTATATGTCTATGATACATAGTACTTAAGTTAAATATAACTTGGACTTTTAGATGAGTTGGTTGTTAACATGCTTACAAAACTAGCTTATGTTCCACATTCTTTAGTTAGTACCATCTCGGTAGCACAATTGAAGATAAAAAGCCCCACTTGGTCCAAGGGGGATCCTGGTAGCACAATTGAGAGATTGATGATGCACTTAGTAGCTAAGGTTATGCTCACGCATTTGGACTTTCTTTCCTATTGTCGGACTCAACTCAGCTCGTGGGTGATAGCTAGCTGCCATTTTACATGGCGACTTGCAAAAGGAAGTGTATATACATGAAGACCTCCTGATTATGTTGCTCGGGGAGAGTTATACAAGCTTTGTGGGATGAAGAGGGCCATCTTTGGTCTCAATTAGCTTCATAGTGGATAATTTAAATAGCAAAAGTATACATGTTAAAGAGAGGAATATTAGACCATTTAATATTTGTAAAATAGAGCAATGGTGGAACTATAGTAGTGGTTTTCTAGTGATGTTGATGGCATTGCAACATTTATGTTGCGTTTAGATCGGGTGATCTGGAGAGAAAAGAAAAAAGGAACTCCTTCTTACCTAATCAGTTGTTTGAATAACTTTGAGAGAGACAAAATTTCATACCTTTGGAGAGAAAGAGTTATAAAGTGATGGTCTTCTCTCTAATTTTTAAGACAAGAAGTTTCGTTTTGTACCCCTCACATAATTAAACATTCTCTTTTGTTTTGCTTTTTGTTTTTGTTTTTGTTTTTATTTTTATTTTTTTATCTCCATCTTTCCCAAACAAGAGGGAAGGATAGTACTATCTTTCCTTCTCTTTTCTCTACTTCAATTATCCGAACAAGATGGAAGCATGCCACCCTCACTTTCTTTTTTTTCTTTTTTTTTTGTTCTCTCGTAGTTTCCCAAATGAAAAGCACTATAGGTAAGCATTTTCACATGAAGGGATTTGGGCAACAAAGATATTTTCTAGATATTCAAGACAATGTATCTCTTTGATATAGAGAAAATATCAAGTTGATCTTCTACAAAACAAAGGAAAGTTAGGTGACAAACTTGTTGATACAACATTTAAAGATCATGCACAAGAGTTGGACCTTGTGTATCCCAAGCTAAAAATACTTGAAAGGAGCACCTTGTAAGGGATTGACCGAGGTTACCTGCCAACTACAGCTTTAATGGATGCTGATTAGGTAGAAGATCATTGTAACAGACAATCTATATTTGGTTTCCATAACTTTATTGGTGGAAATTTGGCTCCTAGGAGTAAGAAGCAAAATATAGTAGCATGATTGAGTGCACAATATATGGTGATGGCTTAAGTTTCCTATGAGATATGAGTGAGATCACTGTTAAAGAAAATGGGCATTACAAATAGTAGGTCTGTGAAGGTGTTAGGATGTTGTGTACAGTAATAATTTGTTTCATAGGAAAACTTAACACGTTAAAGCTGATTGCCAGATATACACGATATGGTTATGGAAAACATATTGCAACTTTGTATGGTCAATCTTGCAATCAAACTGGAGACACTGTAAATAAATCTTCATATATCTATGAAGTTTGTAACAAGCGAGGCATGTTAGGTACCAAAGCTATAACTTGAGGGGACTAGTAAAGAATATATAATATATGTAGTAGATACAAGTGATGCTATAACTTTGATCTATCTTGTTTCCTTGATCTAGATTCTCTTCTCTCTCAATCTCTTTCTATTACATCTATACTTCAGTAATTACATTTTGGGGAGTACATAACAATACAGGCTAAACTAATCTAATTTTTTCTGTATATATGGGCAACATCCTTTTTGATTTGTCAACTTTAAGTGGACTTTGGTCTCCTCTTTCTCCTTAACTTTATAGTTTGCTAGAGGTTTTTCTACAGGTTGCCTAGTTTTGTATCTTTTGTTAAGTAGCCAATTTAGAATTAATGCAATGTAAAATAATTTTAAAAGATTTTTGTCTTCGTCTTGAAAATCATTTCAGGAGATGGTAAACTGAAGGCTGAAGAAAAAAAGTTTATAGTGCTACACAGGTCCAGAGTTCGTTAAAAATATGTCTGAGAATAATTTCTTCAGTTATCGTCATGAATAAAATTTTGGTATCAAGATATGTCTATGCCAGCAGAGTCACATTTGAGAGATGTTTGGATGACAGGGAACTAACTAGCAATTAAACACAAAAATGATAACATAGGATATGTCCTCATCAATCGAATAAATAATAGCATTTATCCAAGATATTAATGTATGCTTACATGGGCTTCAATAATTGTGGATAGAGTTTTTGCTTGTTTCAACAATCCAAGTTCAATGCGATTCCTTTTCACAGTATCGTGCAGACTTGATATGTCAACTCCAAGAGAATAAAGTTTTCTCTGCAGGATAGAAATAAACTAGCTTGATTAATGAAACAAGAAAAATAAGGGGGTGAGGGTTAAATGACATGTTTCCACAATTGAAACAAAAAGCATAATAGTTTCGTTATCAGTGAAGTGAACTATTATACAGCACATGTGATATGACGCAAAGATGTTGAACAAAACTAGTGAAAGTCTCATGTATTGGGTGCTAATTCATAATCCAGATAACCAAATAATCAACCAAAACTAAACTAATCTAACCTTTTCTGTTCTATGCTGGAATGAATGAGGGGGTGTAAATACAATTTACAGCCGCCACTAAGAGGTCATTGGTTAATGAGTAATATGTACTAGCACTTTGAGGTTCTCAAGGAGTGCCTGCCTTAAACAAAATCCATGAATAAATAGGGATGCAACAAGCCAACAAACCTCAGTTTCCCATCTCTGGGCATGAATGGAGGCCTCTGCCTTTGCATTTGCAAATCTCCACTGCAGATGATGGTTATGAAGCAATTTCAGAGTATGCACTTCTTCTTGATGACTTAAAACCTTCCTTCCCCTCCTTGAATCTGCTGCTCCTAGTTTTGAGCATGGAAGTGGAGGCAGACAAAGGCTTCCACCAACCTTTGCAGAGTTGTTTGCAAAGGGTTTGGAGAGAGCCGATGGTGGTTTTTCGCTGGCCGCTTTGAGGGTATGCAAATGCAAGAGGGAGGATTGTTCGCAACTTGACAGTGGAAAATTTAGAGAACGGGAGCAAGGGGAAGGAGAGAACTTTGATGAATCGAAGCCAATGACATCACCTACTGTGCAACTTCTTTCTGCCGGCAGTCTGGTGGTGGATAAGGTGGACAAGGCATCCACCTCTGGCAAGGAAGAAGTTGATCTTCTAGACCGAGGGGCCTTGCTGTTTTGGACTGATATTGGAGGACTAGTAGTGCACGTAACAGTGGTAGTAATTGAATCTGAACCAGTCGATGTTGGAATTTTAGCGAGGGCTCGGGTAACATCTTTCTCATCACTGTCATTGCCACCCACTGTATAAGGGTGGTGGTGGTGGTTTAAAGGAAAGGAAGCGGATTCTTTGGATGTATCCCCATTTATTATGTTAGTATCTGGATTGGGAGGTTGAGCAGACATTGACATCCCGCTTGATTGCAAAAGCTTTGTGGCTGCTGTAACTGGCACCGCGTTGTTGGTTGGACTTGGCCGCGCAAGGTTTTGGGTCCCGAGCCTGAACCTTGATGAAATCATTCTATCGGTGGTGGCAGCAGTTACAGTTGGTGTATCAGGTCTTGAAGGGGTAACAATTCCACCCCTTGCTGAGAATTTGCCACTGATGAGGGTTCTTGATTGGGATTGGGAGACTTCTGATAGCTGTTTCTGCCCTGCCCTGCCTCCGTTCTCCTTGTTCAGTTTGACAGCAGCGCGCTGCTTCCTCTGTACAGACATCATCACCGTTTTACCACTAGTACTAGTATGCAATCCCAATCCCAGTGGAGTTTCCAAGCTACGAATTGTGTCAGGTATGTTCTCATCGGCACGGCACAAGGGTTCCAGGTCCTGGTGTCGCCTCTGCACAGACTTGGAGCGGTGTTGTTGATGTTGTTGCTGCTGCTGCTGCCTGGACTGGACTTCCAGAGGGTTTGGAGTTGATACTACGTACTTGGAAAGGGGTGATTTCGGTGCATGATGATGATCACCAAGGCTAGGGGAAGAAGAAGAAGAAGACGAAGAAGAAGAAGAAGAAGAAACAACCGAAGACATAAATCTCGAACTGACCTCCCTTACTCTGGGTCGCCGATGAGACAGAGGAGGAGGAGGAGCAGGAGGAACCGCTGGGGAAAGGGCGTCCACCGCCTCCGCAGCAGGCCGCTCTCCACACGTCGGTGGGTGAACTTGAGCGATCGCGTCGTTCATTTTTCCCCAAAATAAGCCAAGCGATTCAGAAGCAAGCCCCAAATCCAAATTTACTCTGCTATAAACCAACAACCAAAATATTAAAGATTATACAAGTTTTCGCGGAATCTTCAATCGAACTCCTCCAATCTGCGATGGCTGAGAAACTCTAGACGCTGATTTGTCTGAGGTAGGTCGATAGAAGATATGGAAAACATCTTATGAAAAAAGAAACCAAAAAAAAAAAAAAAAAAAAAAAAAAAAAAAAAACTAGCCGTTGAGACTGACAACGGTTCCTTATTTCAAAAAGGGAGTTTTGTTGTTCTATTTCCGTCCCATCCCGTCTAGTAATCCTATAAACAGTATAGATCCGTAACGGAAGTCACCTCGTAAATGTAACTTATTTGATTACATAACGCAGGATTTAAGAATTGAATAACAGCAATGCTAGGTATCATGAAAAATCTATCATGAAAATAATCATGAAAACTTTGTGACCCTTGGATTACACTTAGAATAAAGCACCGCACACTAATCAAGGTAATCCAAAGATCATAAATCTTTCATGATTATTTTCATGAAAAATTTTTCATGATCCCTAACTTTTCTCATTGAATAATGCTTGGACCCTTTTTGGGGGTTACCCTCGCCCCCCTTTGTCACGTGGCGGGCGGTGATTGGAGGAGCAGGAAAAAAAAGAAAAAGAAAAAAAAAATGTAACCAATGAGAGAGAGAGGGGGTCAAAGGGGGTGGGGGAAAAGGAGGATGAATCATTGTTGTTAAGAATTTTTGGCTTTTTATAAAATATGAGTTGGATTTGAAGTGAAGTGGTAGAGATGTGATGTTACTTAAATAAGATGATATGACTTAAATAGGATAGCAATTTTTTGACTTTTTAACTTTTTTAGGGGATGCCAAACCTAGCCTTAGTTTTTAGAAAATTAATTTTTCTTTTATTTTTTATATGTTTTTATTAATTTTTTTAATATTTTAAATAATTTTTAGATACACTTAATATAAATATATTTTAAAAAATATAATATTTATAAAAATAATCTTTAAAAAATTCACTAAATACTAAAAATATAAAAAATACTAAAATTCAATATATTTTTCGTATTCTTGTGTATTTATTAATTTTTTAAAATATTTTTTTACAAGCATTTTATTTTTTAGATACATTTAAGTAAAGTACATATAAAAAAGTAAAAAAGTTGTTTAAAATTTTAAAAATATTCACTAAAAACAAAAATATACGCAAAAATAAAAAACTCAAATTTTAAAAATTAAATTCAAAAAATTAAAAACAAGCACACTGGCATTTGAATTGTAAAATTTTAAAATTTTATAAATTTTCTTAATACAAAATATCTTGTAAAAAGTATTTAAAAAAACCCCAAGGGTTTAACCCACTAACCAATCAAATCTTAATTTTAAATTGTTTCAATTTAAATTTTAAAATGATATTAATCACATTTAAGGACAGAAAAAGAAAGGATAGAGATGATAGTAAACTGGGGAAGGGGAGGAATAGTGGTGGATGGTAGAGGTGAGCAGTGAATATATTGATTCGTCCAAATCGATCGAACTGATCTGATTCGTCTCATTTTGGATGGATGCGTGATAATGAGCAGACAGTTACGAATTGATTTTTTTTAATCCGCCTAATTTTGGACGGATGGCGAATTTGAGTTTTTGGCTTCAACCGATCCGCCAAATCGCGAGTACCCCTAGTAATTTGTAAGACTTTTTGTTTTCAATTTGTTTAGATATTTTGCTTGTATTTTCAATTGAAAAAGAGTTTAAATATTTTGTTGGATATATTTTGTTGAAAATGAGTTTTCAACTTGAATATTTTTTTTGAATTGAAAAAAATTAATTTATTATTTATGTAGATTTTTTGATTTTTAAATCTAACTCTATTAATAATAAATAAAAAAGATGATATATGTTGGTTGATTTTTATTTTCAAAAACAGATATAGATCTAACAATACGAAAGCATACAATCTTTACTACTGCTCTGTTTATAATTTTGGTAGTTTGAATTGTTTTTATATTTTGTTTTCATATTTAGGTAAGAAAGCACAATCATTTCTTTTCTCACCTTATCTCACGATCCAAACGGAGTGTAAGGATAAGAGGTGGCTATCAGTAGTAATGAAGAGAAAAAAAAAAAGTGGTTAAATTATCTAAATTACTCTTTGTTCATTAGTTTTATCTAATGGATACAAAGGAATAATTAGAATTGATATCATTTTAAAAGTTTAGAATTTAAATTGAAATAATTTAAAAGTTAAGGTTTAATTTATGGGAAAATTGTCCAAAAATCCCATATCAGCATCAGCAATTCCATTTAGTCCTAAAGATTTACACATACACTTGTAGATCCCATCGGTGAAAACGTTGTCACCAGTAAGTCCTATTTTGATTTGTATGTTGATGTTATGGACATTTGTGCCCTTTCTTTGATTGGGTCACACAAGTTTAAGGATAATGTCCATATCTGTAACAACCACGACCTATGATTAACTGTTAAACTATGATTAAGGATGCTAATAAGTACTTAAGAAGAAATTTTGAATTAATTGCATGTGTGTTGCTTTATTTGTGTTCATATATGTTCATGGTAGGAATATCTGTCTTTAATTCTGTTTAGTTTTGCGAATTAAAGGCCTTATTGGCATTCGATTACGAAATTGACTATGGTTATATGTTATTTGGAATTTTTTAGAATTTATGATAGATTTAATCGAAATTCGATTCAAAACGAATTAACTAAAATTAATAATACCTATTTGCTTAGTTTAAGCCAAGTGTAATTAAGCCTTCATAATGGAGCCTATATAAGGCATATGAGATTTCAAGACTACACTTTACATTCTCATTTGTTTCCTCCTTGAGCTTCTAATGTGAGAGGGACAGAGAGTTAGAGTGAGAGAAAGTTGAGTTCAAGAAGGAAGGAAGGAAGGAAGGAAAGACTTGCTAGGGGATTGAAGGGTAATTGGAGAATTGATTTAGAACTTACTAAGAATTCAAGGAATTGAGAACTTTAGGTAAGATTTTCATTCCTTGAGCTTATATTTGACTCACCATATAAGAATTCAAGAAAAGTTAAAGATGTAGAACAATGATTGAGCTAGAATTGATAAATTGAAGCTATACCATGCATGCATGCACTTTTATCATATTTTTGGGTTAAATTTCAAGTAATTCTCACATGCATGTACCAAGTCTATCTTAGTTTGAGAATTCATCTTGTTTTCCATCAAATTACCTCATTTGATCATGATTTGGAAGCTTTGAAATCAAGAACTTCTATGTATGTCATGTTTTCAACATTTCAAGTTTGAGTTTGAGCAATTCACATGCTTTTAGGCCTTGATTTGACAAAATTGCTTTCATTTCAAGATTTTTTATAAGTTTATATATATGTTTTATCAACTTTGGGCTCAAAAAGTTGTGTTTTGGAAGGTTAAAGATGGGTTTTGAAGTTTGGAGGTGAATTTGGAAATTTCAGAATTCAACCTCATCGCTCGAGCGACGGATCCTGTGCTTAAGCGACCACCTTTATTTTTGCACTTGCGCTCGAGCGATCAAAAGTTGGCTTGAGCATAAATTGCATGCTCCCAGAAGTTTCCATGTTTCGCAGTCCGCTCGAGCGACAAGAGTTGCGCTCGAGCGAGGACCTGAGTCTCATGCTCGAGCGACAGTCGAGCAGAGAATTCACATAACCAGTACTTTTGCAGAGTTTACAAACCGCTCGAGCGAAAGAATTTGCGCTCGAGCAACCACTCACATGCTTGGACGTCCGCTCGAGCGAAGGAAGTTACATTCGAGCGAGGCCTCTGCTTTCAGTAAATTTGACTAAGTGTTGAACAACATGTTTTGGCATCCTCGTTGTATCCTAGGCATTCTTAAGCCAAGTTTAAGACATAATAATGCGAATAAGACTTAGAAACACACTAGGAACGAAACGTAATGAGTTAAGTATATTCCGAGTGTGTGTTTCAATTTGTGTATCTGTTATGTTGTGTAGGTCACGCGCCGTAAACCATTTGATTAATTTGCTTTGTCTGTCTGCATCCGGAGCTACCTGTGAGTAATAACTCTGTAAAACTACGTTTGAATATAAGTATTTTTTTGACTAAATGATACGATCTGTTTTCTGAAATGATATTTTATGAATCATGAATGAATATTCATTTTTTTGAAATATATTTATGGAATCCTTAGTTCACGTGGCTATCGCTCGGGGCTAACAATATCGTGGCGACTATACACGTGGCCCTCGGCTAGGGGTAACAATACTGTGGCATATATTCATGTGGCCCTTGCCCCAGGGTAACCATACCAAGGCTTATGTTCACGTGGCCTTCGCTTGGGGGTAACAATACCATGGCTACTTGTGCACAAGATGTGGACTTATGTGGTCGTCGGTACCAACTATGCATGTAACGCCCTCAAAATAATATAATAAATATAACCCAAAGCATGCATAAATGATAGCATAAATTAGAGTAAATAGTCCTTTCATTTCATGAAGTTAATGATACAAAAGAGTTTAACTTAAATACATGCCCTGTTGGCTTACATCTTTCCAAGCCTCGACTTGGTTACAACAAAAAAGAGACTAGCTTTTACAAATAAGCCCTTGGCTACACAAAAAAAATATATAATCAAAACAAGAAGCTCATGCTTCCAAAAAGTCCCTCCCAACTATTGTCTTGGCAGAGGCATGACCTCAATACCTGAAAATGTTATCCCCAAATAGGGTGAGCCACAGCCCAGTAGGAATTATCTAACACGGTATATGAGACTTAGCAAAGGTATAAGTACACTATGCATACACAACGTCAGTGATAGAACATCCACATTATACATAGACATAAGATACCAAATTCAATTCTTAATCCATTTCCATTCAATTCATTTCATTACATGAGCCAATTTCATCATTTCTTTAACAATCCAAATAAGACTATAACTCATTAGTTCTACAATCACATCATCAACGTACAAACACTTCAAACTTTTCTTTCACGGATATTTCGCGGATATTTCGTCTGCGGGAAACCCTTCAAACGGGACCCATGTAAATGTAGGCTATACAAGCACTACAATTGCCATTTTACGGATATTTCGTCCGCAGGATCGACACCCATGTATAATTTTGGGACTTTTACTCAGGACATCCGGCTAACTTAATTATAATAGA